AAGATTTAACTTTCCCGTCAACAATTTTACCTATCGAAGTTGATCGATTATATGCGAACTGTGTGATGTTAATTGAGATGATTATTTTGTAGGGATATTTGACATGACTTTTGCTTTTGATGTTTCTTGATAAAATTATTTGAATTAGTATTTGAAAACTAATTTTGATAAGAATTTTCTTTTTTCGAAAAAGATTTTAAAGGAAGTTACATTCGACCAGATTCTTCTAACTAAAAGAACATTTTTATAAAATCTATTCTGACTAAAAGAACGTTTTTTATAGAATTATTCAAATAAGTTCAAAAACAACATTTGAATCTCAAAATCTATTTTTAACTTCTCAAAAGTTAAGTTAAACGGGCCATATATGTTGCATCATCATCAAATTTTACGTATTTCTCAGTGCAAATTCTATTTCTTATTAATCAAGGAAAGAATTTACTGATGTTTAGGTAGACCTTTTCGTACTTTCTCTAATCATATCGAGCTTGACTAGATCATGAAAATGTAGCTATGTGAGCATTTTTTTTACTCGTCAAAATAGATGAGGACTTCCATTATCAATTTTTAGTAAAGCGTGCAACTTTATGACATTTTTTGAATAGCATGGATAATATAAAGGAAAGAAAAGAAGTTAACTAATAAAGTACCCCCGATGTTGACCAAATTATGCTGTAGGACAAAGCAAACTGTCTTTTGGAAAATTAATCCCAAGATTAACCTTAAAAGTCGCGACCACCGCGAGAGAAGAATTCTAACAGATAAATGCAATCCCAATGAGGGAAATATTAGAAATCCCACAAAATATATAGATTTCAAGTGTTCGATAGATATTATCGAGAAAAGAATATATTTTAAATACTGATATGATGAGAAATATGTAGTTAAAAAGTAAAGAAAAATTATTGATGTGGTGGAAAATATTATTTTATTGAAGAATGTATGGTTGAAAATGAATTTTGAAAAAATATATTTTGAAAGAATACGTGTTTTCGAGTTCTTTTACAATTTCAAATCAATAGGCAATAACCAAAAAAAGAGCCCCACTAACGACAATTACATGGAAAAACATGTTCCATTAATAATTTAAATAATAATAATAAAAAAAGGCCCCACAAAAGACTATTAACCTTAATTATTACGGCATATGCTTTATAATTTATTCACAAACACATTATCATGTTTTTTTAATTAATTATGGTTTTACGACAATTCTCTAACAATAAAGATCATCAAAATCTTTGTTAATCATCATATATTTCAAAATAATTATTGTAATTTGTAAATATCTAAGATAGTAGTTGGTCACATTTCATTGGATATAACAATCCAGCTTGTTTAGTGATTTTCCATGTGGTCCCTCAACCAACCAACCATTGACCCAGTAGAATTCCATAATCTATTTTCAAATAATATCTCAGAGTCAATCAGATCTCTCCACGTGGCACCATCTGAATGCGACTGGCACATGGCACATGGCATATTATATCATTTGGCTGCACCACTAAAGATTTATTAGAATATATTTATTAAATAATTAATTTAATTGCACCTTGCTTGCTTCCCGCCATTATATCAATTTCTTCTTTTTTTTTTAAAGAAGATTTTATTAAAAACAAATTATTATTAGAATCTTTAATTATGTTGAAGATAGATATATTTTTCCTTCTCTGACAAATCAAATTTTTAATCGAGATTTTGAGTTCAAATCTTAACTTTACTAGTTCACAAATAGTTCTGCATAGACTTTGACATAAAAATAATTTTGATTTTCTTGATAAGGAACGAGTTAGAGAATGTATAAAAATTTTTTTTTTTTTAAACTTTAGACTAGACGATGACGTGAAAAATGATATTGAGTTTGAGATAGTGGTGGCAAAAAAGCTCATCGGCTCGGGCTCGTGCTCAAGCCAAGCCCTATTTTGGGGGGTCGGCCCGTGATTAATTAAAAAAAATTAAAAATAATAATTTTGTTATTTGGCTCGAGCTGAGCCTGAGCTTTTTTTTTTTTTTTGGCTCGGCTTGACTCGTTGACATAGCTAGTTTGAGATGAGCATTTTTGGCGTAAACAAGATAAACAGATAAATATTTCAGTAAGGTAATGCTTAGAAGTTTGAATTTGCTGATAAATGTATCTTTCTCCAAACTTGGAAGCAACTTCAATACATTTAATATGCAATAAATAAAGGTCATTTCAAAAGAAAAGTTTCAAAGACTCCAAGACAACATATAATTTAGTCTAAAAAGAAAAGAAAAAACAAAAATCCGAAATCCACGAGACAAGTCTTTCTTTTGACTAAACAATTGAGAGAGTTTCTCTAAAGAAAAAGTTACAGCTTGAACATCTGCTGAGGTCAAAGAATAATATCATCGAAGCTAGATGTATGTACATGGCATCCTACTCGGGGGCAAACCTTAGTCCTCGGAGAATGTGAATGTCTATTAGCAAATTAAGCTCGAAAATGAAGACGTCAGAATGTAGGGGATGTTTGCGAGGGGACCTCGTTGGCAAGCTAGTTCGTGAATGTCTTTCACAATGTCGAACACTGCATTTGGTTGGGCAAGTTTTAGCGCATTCTCTGACATTTTTTTGAGCTCGTTCGTCTTTGTGCTAAACCACTCCGCCACCAGTCGTGCAGTTTCATTAGGACTTCGAGTGAACACTCCAGCCCCATTGTCAACTACATATGGAACGTTTCCCTTTTCCTGTCAAAGTAGAAAAGAAACGGATATCAGTGACAAATGTTGTTGCTGTCCAAGGAAATTAGCCGGAAGATATAATAGAAGTTCAGGTACACGTACTTGTCCGGGAATATAGTCATTCAGAATAATCGGAAGGCCTCTTATCAATGCCTCTGCAATGGTGCCTGGTCCTGCCTATAAACCCAACAAACTTGTTAAAAACTAATCCAGAATGCTAAATCACTAACATAACTTGTGTTTAGTACGAACAAGATCTCAACTCTTTTCATAGTTAATACCGTCCTGTCCTATCAGTACGGTACAACAAATGAAGATAAATAATGATTACATACTTTTGTGATAATACAGTCGCAAGCACCCATCCATTTCTCCATTTGCTTCTCGAACCCTCTAACCTACATTTAACAAGAAGAATCCACAGCTCCGAAATAAATAGTCTGCCAAAAGGAAGATATTCAGTTTGCAGTTCAATACAATTCCTTAAAGAGAAAAGCAGTCACCTTGACAGGGATTTTCCATTCAAGTGATTTCAATGTGGAGGCTAGCACCTCATTGCGCCCACAGATGATAATCAATTGCCCTATTGGCTTCTCGAGCTCCGTATCATACAGAGATTCTCCCAAAGCCTCGGCAGTTTTCCTTACAGGGCCCATCCCTTCACCACCTCCCATTAGCAGGACGGCTGGCAAGTTAAGATTCATCTCAAGTTCGACTCTTAAATCATCCTATCGAGGAAAGAACATCCATGAGCCAGATCACCATAACAACCAAATTCAATTGAACAATAAATAAAATCATGTTTTCTTTTCAAGACTAACTAAATTAGGCAAGATGAAAATTAATGTTCACCTTGGATAGAACTGCCTGAACAAAAGAAGGTCGGATGGGCAACCCACACACACGAATTTGGGATTGTTCGAGTCCATCTAGTGAAGCTCTCTTTGCTACAGCCTCTGAGGGGCAGTACAATCGATTGACAGATGGATGAAACCTTAATACATAACGTTTCCATATCAGTACAGAAAGATTAGAGTTCAACAGATCAAGAAAATCACAAATGCATTTAACATTTTACAAAAAAGTAAATAAGTACATTTGTAAATTACCATGTGCGGTGGCATGTATTGAGATCTGTAATGACTGTAACAAAAATGACTTTCTTCTGTAATCCTTGCCATCTCAGTACCCAGAGTGGAATATGCTGCATAAGAGGATGGACACTGATGATGATATCGGGTTTGTACTCCATTAGGCCAGCCTCAACCTCCCTTAAATACCAAAACATACAGCAGACATTAGCGAGTATTGAACATAAGGTGTAGATGTTTCGGACATTCAAAAGCCACTCATTGGCACCAACAACAAACAGACGTCAAATTAAACCTCATTCCCAATGAATTTAAGATCAGCTACATAAACCATTTTTTAAGTACAATCTTTGGTTCCACTTGATGGCATAAAGAGTAAAAAAATCATATGTGAATCGAGTAGAGGTGAGAGCAATAACGAGGACAAAGAAAACATACTTAGCGTAAAAGGCAGCAATGGCTGCAAGATAGGCAGAGTGTATCCATTTAGGAGAGGTGCTATGAAATGCAACCTTCCAAAGCTGCACATGTTTAACCATGAATTTGTACTGGTTCTCCATATCATTCAGCGGCCAGCCTGTGTACTCCTTCCAAACATCCTTCACAAAAATCTGTGAAACGCGGACAAATAGCATAAACAAATTAAAGAAACACAAAGTTTGAGTAGCATCACATGTCGAAAACCCAAAATTAAAGATCAAAATTCGGTATAGCATCTAAACAACTTGGAAGAACTATTTTTTCCATAAAAGACGCAATCGCAGGCTCCCATACGACAAATTATGTCAAAAAATCGACTATTATTGCAAAGCAACAAGGACAAAAAATGCAAAGAAGAGATTTTGTAAAAGAACAAAATCTATACAAAAAGGCAATTTTTAGATCTAAGAATTTATCAACTCTATTCAAAAACATTATTTTAAGGCCTAATTTATTGAGATATAACCACCCATAAAATTTGCCAAAGTTGGAATATTAAAAAAATTTAAATCATTAATTAACTTACCCTATATTCATCCCCATATTCCAGCTGGAACGCGTCTCGAATCGCCTCTGCCGATGCACGGTGGCCGCCACCAGTATCGCTCATCAGAATCAGCACATTTTTTGTCCTTTCAGCACCAATTTGCTCCATTTCCATGGTCCCGTCTTCATCTTCAATTGCATATTTGCACCTCTTTTGGCTGCTACCTCCAAAACCATACACCCCAACCTTCTCAAACACCTTGTTTATCGATTTCCTTGGAGACAACGACATCACCGTCTATATAAACAAATAAACGAATTGGTATATGTAGACGTGTAGTTTCTTTTTAAGAATTTTTGGTAAGATCAAACGAAAAAGGGAATCTTTCAGAAATGGGAATTGAGAAATAAATTCTTATACATGAATCGGTATATACGTATAAATAATTGTATATACCGTTTCCGGCAAGTTAAAAGAAAGGGATCCAACAATAGATATTGACAGGCAACAAAGCAAATCAAGAAAATCCAAGAAAACCCAGTTGCAGAATTCTTGAAAACTCGCCGGCAAATCAAGAAAACCAAGGTGAGGAATTCTTGCAAACTCTCCGGAAAATCAAGAAAATCCGGCGAATCAAGAGGAGAGAGAGGCGGCAGACAAAGACGGGAAGGGAAAGAAGAGTATGAGTTTGCCAAAAATGATTACTTGCTCCGATTAAAAAGGAAATGGTGCGATTTTGGATACTCGAATGATGCCATCAGAGGAACATTTGTTACGGAGTGAGTGAGGGTTTTATAGCCTTTGGATCAGCCGTTAGACAGGGAATGTTCCGATGAGCAGATTCGGATCTCTTACAAGGATCTTATTACATCAAACAGTTGTTTTTGAACTGCATATTGTCGATGGGGCCCATTTTTTCATGCATTTATTGTCAAATTTTCTTTACCTTATATTCGATTTCATTTGGCTCCCACTTTCCACACAGAAAATTTAGGAAATTGACTGAAAGTTGTATGGGAACAAGGCACCAGACATAGCACATCTATGGTGGAGCAAGCATAAGGTTTCTTGTTTTAATAGATATTACTTATAATCGAGATAATATAGTGAGTTGATATTTTAGTCTAGTTACGTAATTTATGCAAGCGAATATTTTAACTAAATTAATCGTGTTGTACTTTGATTTGAAATCCCATTTTCCTCTACATAAATGAGCCACGTAAGGAAAATATTTAAATAATAGTAACTTCTTGGACACATGAAAGTGGAACGCCACACCTTTGGATAAATCTTCTATGGAGGTGCAACCTCGTACAGAAGGGTTTGTGTTGGGAAGTTGGTAATGGTAGTTTATTCATATCTTCTGCGATTGATAGATACCTCGTCTGTTATCCTTTAAACTGATCATTAGGTGCAACGAGTTGATTGAAATAGTAAATTTGTTGGAAAACAATCAATTTTTATGAAGAATGAGGATCAAGGGTATATCAATTGGCATAAAAAAAAATATGAAAACACCACTTTCGAACATTAGTTGGGTCACATTGTTCATATCATGACGATTATGTTCATATTACTTGTATATTTAATATTTAGTTCTATTTATTCTTTGCAAGTGAATCTTCGTGTTCTTTGATCCGTGAAGTACTAAGTATTATATTCATGGCATCATTTGAGATATAAGAGTCTATTTGATTGATAAATGTGGAAAAACTTTTCAATTCCATGTAAGTTGAAAAATAAAAATACAAGTACCCCATAAGAATGCATTTTTCATGAAATTGACAAAAGACAAGTTTAAAGTGGTTGTACCTTGAAATTCGAATTTCATTTTCACTTTCATATCAAACAACAAAAGTAGAAATTGAATTTCTTGGATGTGACATTTTTCATTAAATTTAAACAAATCAAATGGACCATAATTGTGTACACTAAACTAGTGTGCGTGCTTGTACGTATCACAATAAAAACGCTCATTAACAACAATTGATCCCATTAGAATTCTCTTAATAGTTTTTTTTTTTAGAATTCTCTTAATAGTTATTTTAACACGAATTCCCAAACGAAATAGTTCGAGGGAAAAACCCAGAACCCGATCTAGGGCTAAATAGCAGCTCGTAATGTAAACATAAATCACATTCTTTATCAAAAAAAATTTGGAACCCGCACTCAAACAAGTATACTTGAAAATATAGCTTATTATGCTTTCAAAGTTAAGTTTGTAGAATACAATTTATATGTACAGAAGAAATAATTCATAATTTATAGTCTGAATTTTGCCTATTTCAAATATATTGAACCGAACTGAACTATGTAAATTAATGTCGTATAAAGAGCATCACATAATGCTCGAAAATCTGAAGAAAAGCATTATTAAGAACCCACACACACAAAATCAGAAAACTCTCATAAGTTGAATTATAATGTCATAAGCTGAATTATAATGTGATGGCCCAAAATAAGTGCAAATAGCATAAACATAATGCTCTCTATAATGAAAAACCAGAGCTCTCATCTGATCTTCATTTGTTAAACATAAATATATACATATGCATCTTTGTCATAATAACATATTTGATGATTCCTGGAATACTAGCATAACAGTAAACACCGGCAAAAATCCGCCATGTCCTAATTTTGGAAACTAATTTTTCAGGTTCAGCATATAGAACCTGTAAAACGAGACTCGACATATCTAGGCATCAACGTGCAAGAGCCAGCTTGCACACAATGGACAAGGAGGATCCCGTCTATCTTCATGGCTCGTTTTCTCTTCCAAACAATCAGCATGATAAACATGACCGCAGACCAAAACGGCATCTACCGAAAGATCGCTAGACGACATAGAGTTCCCAAGGATGAAGGGTTTCTTCCTCACAAGTTTCTGGCATATACCACATTGCATTTTCCGCACATCAGCAGATACTGCGTTCATCACCAATGAACTTGACCTAATTCTTCCTGGTTTATGGGATGTTCTTTCCCTACTTTCTGAGATTAAAAAGAGACAAGAAAATGAAGATATTAAATGAGATGATATGAGTAGGCTGATTAAAGAGGACAACGAGACCGACTAATGAAGTCTACCTTTACGCTGTGAGTCTGAATGTTCTTTACTAGGCAGTTTAAAGGACAATTTCATATCATATACAGGATGGCCCTTCCTATTAGAAGTCGATGCTTCAGAGTGATTAGCGCTTCGTCTAGAATAATGGCGGCTAAAACAATGATGAGGGTGCCTCAATAATAAACCACAACCAGGACCACGGGGTGACAGGTGGCCTTGTGGTATCTTCATGGAATTATCTCTACTATCCAAAGTGGATAATGGAGGCTGTGCCGCACCGTATTCAGCTTGGTGAGAAGATTTCTGCATTAAAATAAAATTTAACAAAATACAATGAACGAGGTAAGAGAGAGCTAAAAATCAAAACTATGAGAAACAAACCCGTTTTGAAAACATATCCGTTTGAGGTGATTGCGGCATGAAGTCTGCAAATTTAAAGAACGGTTATCAATGATAATTCAATAGATTATCATACGGAAATTTACTCTTGGATAATAATGCATAATCAGGCATGTAACTCCTTGCATATATATATATATATATATATATGAGTCAACAGCATCTGAATGTAAACAGAGGTGCTATTTTGATAAGGTTCAGGTAGCACTTATAGTTACAGATGCTATAGAAACTTTTCAATACACAAATATGTACATGATTTTGAGAAGTATACATCGGCTTAACGAGAATCCAGAAAGGTTGGTCTACAGAACCAAGATGGGTAGAAAGCTATTTACAAGAATGTCCAGAAAAGGGAAAAAATCCACACGAATAAGACATTATGAGAAAGATCTAAACCAATTATATCAAAGATAAAAAGCAAATAATTTTGAGGAATACTGCCATAGCGGTTAGACTACGGAAAGAAAAAGAGTAATTACTTCACCAAATTATTTAATAAAATGCATATTGGTAGATCTTTACGAGAATTTGTCAAACTCCATTATATAGAAATGTCAACTCTATTAAAAAAATCAGAATCTTGGACCTGAGAGAGCGTGTGAAGGGGTAAGACAAGAAAACCACTTGGTCTAGATGGAAGACAATCGGAAGTGAACTATGAGAGAGTAATAGAGCTAGATTAAGGTACCAAATAAAACATAGAGATTGGGCTTTTGCAATATTGATATGCCTGTTGACCTCCCTTTTTGAATGCACACGTGGACAACCAGTGGCGGATTCAGGATTGTTTGTCAACTAAGGCGGCCGTTGACCGTTGATCATTGACCGTCGACATTCAATTGCTGTAATAGCGATTGAATACATGCCCACCATTGGTCGGTGCTGAACATGAGGTTTATAACAATTATGATAATAAAATACAGACTCATTCTCTAAATAACACTCCATTTAATTAATCTTACTCCTTTCGTCAACTATTTCTATAGACGAAGTTTTAACAAGCACATTGTCATACGTAAATGCAGTTTATTTATGAATGAACAAGACCGAGTCACCATCAATTATCAAAACATCAAAACAAATGCAAAAAGAAATAGCTCCACCTAGGATGCCACGTAGGCTTTATCTGGAGCTTCGGTGGCTAGACGTAACAATGCCTACTTAGCATGTCAATGGAAAAATATACAGAAATGAAACAAGAAGTACATAACATGTATAGCTTTATACTTTGTTTTCAAGGAAAATGCTATAGTTAGAGTTATAAAGTAGGTTGGGCTAGCTTGGCTTGCACAAACTAAGAAGATTGGGAATCCGATACACCCACAAGATATGAAAGAGTTAGTGTCATTTTAAAAAATAAGATAGCCAAATCAAAGAATTTAAATGGCATGCGACTTTACATCCATAAAAGGGATATGAAAATGTAGACAAAATCACAATCCAAAAGAAAGGATGCCGAAGATGCAAACACGATAATTCCATAGCGGTTTATTTGGATCAATGCGTAGGAGACAAAATTGTGACACTAAATCAACAAACAAGATTGCATATACATTAGGGTGAATTTTCATAAGAAAATGTTTCTATGGATATAACAATCATAGAAGGCCATAAATTTCATATTTTAGTGAAGAATAGGATCAAGATTTTATCATGTCGTCTGTGGTTAAAATATTAGTAGACACTGACCTACAAGCAAAGTTTCACTCGGATCACTTAACCTTTTTATGCCAAATCAGTATATTAAAGTTTATTTCTTGCTCCAATTACATTAATCCATCAACCTTTATCAAATACACTAAACAGAAAATCTGATATTGTGGATTGAAAAGCTGAAGTGGCTTGGAGCACTGGTGAAGATAAAAACTTTAAGCCGAAGATTGGAACTACACAGAATGTCCACCTAATTCCGAACTAAGTTGATATATTTGATTGTGAAACAAAAAATAATGATGCAAAACACCAAACATTTTCATCAAAACAAAAGCCAATATGTAAACAAAAAGTATTTCATCTTTTAATGCATCAAAGGCCTTTACCAATATACATATTCATCAAGATATATACTTCTATTCACCAAAAATGAATTTCAGAAACGGTTAATTGTTCTTATTATCATAATTAGAAATTTCTTAGAAATATTCCTCTGCCTCATTAAAAACCCATCAAAAACTTTCAATCATATAACCAATTGCACAGAATTTACTAAATAAAAATATCAACCCAGAAAAAAAAAACGCAATTTACCTGATGATGGTGGTGTTTCATCCAAGTCAGTCCTCTTTCTTTTTGCCATAATATTTTTGTATTAGACTAACCCAAAAAGAAACTACACCTTTTTACTATAAAAATGAATGTGTGTAATTTTCCTGTAGTATAAAATGAAATTAAGAAAATTCGACGGCTGAAAAGGCACCAAAATTTCAGGGTTTAGGCTGGTTTAAGGGGAAAAGATGGGAGTGAGGTGTAGCGTCGTAGCGAGGATAGAGCAGGTTAGTGCGGACGTGCAGTGAAGAAAATCTAGGGAGACTTGGAGATGAAAAATGTCGACCAATTTTTCACTATGCAGTTGATTTTGATTGCGTTGCACGAAGAGAAACGATAATAATTTATGAGGAAATTGGATCGCATGTTAAAATTCATTAATTCATCTATCACAACGTGAATTTGCACTAACATTTGTTATATTTGTTCTAATTAATTAATATAGGACACGTAAGAAAGTTATTTGACATATTAAAGAAGGCGTACCAAACTTTAAAAAATACTCTACCTCCGATCCCCACCTTCAAATCTTACCCTCCAAGATTAGGAATGGCAAACTAGCTCATCGGCTCAGACATTTCGGGCTCGACTCGGCTCGGGCTCGGTGTAAGCTCGGACCTAAAAAAACTCGGTCCAAAAAAGCTCCAGTCGAGCCCGACTTTTTTATTTAATTTATGTACGTATAAACCGTACAAATTTTAAATTTTTTAAATAAAAATATAGATTTACTATTAAAAAAAAAACTCGAACGGCTCGGTCCGGGCTCGGCTCGACCCGGTAAGACTCGGACCGAGCCTCATTTTTTTTGGCCGAGCTTTGCTCTGCTCTGCTCGGCTCGGCTCGGCTCAAGTCGAAAAAAGCTCGACCTAAAAAAGCTCGAACCGAGCCCAAGTTTCTTTTTTTTCGGCTCGATTCGTTGACGTCCAAGACCCCCTTCTCCTCATTCCTTACCCCCACCCCACCCCCTCACCTCCCCCCACCCCACGTATGGTAACCTTGCGCCCAAGACCCTCTCTTTCTTTGTCTCCTCTCTTTCTTTCATGTTATCAAAAAAGTAAAAAAGGCAAGATAATTGTGTCGTCAAAAGCACCATGAGTAAGAAATTTGATTGTTCTCCTTATTTTGAAACACAAGATATGCTCATTTCCCATTATACAAGGAACTAAGATTTTATTCGATAATTCTTTTTATTTTATTTTATTTGAATATGTTGGGTGCTTGCTAAAAAGTTTACGATTTTTTTTCAAAGAAGTTGTATTTATTCCAATTTATGTATACGAATAATTGGTTTTACAATTGAATGAATTTTTGTGGTATCCTTGGATGCTTCTAACTTCTCAAAAAAATAAAATAAATAAATAAAAATTGCTTTATAACTTTGCAGTCTATACCGTTTATCTGACATGAACATCTATTGGTCTTGATAGATGACTTATATTATTCTCGATAATTTGAATGACATGAAACAAAGTACTGAAAATTTAGCTTAGTTGTGCATTTTTATGCTATAGTTGTATGTTCGAAGTGATTAACTATTTATTACACAAATTCACTACTCATTCCATCGTATGTTGACATTGAAATTTGTTTTTGTTGGTGTTGCAGATGGAATTCTATTATCATTTATCCAAGATAGAGGTAGATGCCCACAAACACCAATGCTTGGCATTAAATTATTATCAATAGCTGGTAGGCCTCCCTACACAGGCTACACTAGAATTGGTTGCAAGTATGATTCGATTTGTGGAAGAACATTATGCTGCCTTTAAAGTTGAAGTAGTCGTAAATATTTGGAAATTTGTATTTTGATGTGTGTTGTGATTTAGGAGTTGTTCCGCGGCATGTTTTGTGGGACGTAAAATACGACTTGTTTTGTTTTGTGACATTTATTTAAGGGAAATTTCATAATTAAGAAGTTTAATTTTACTAATTTCAAATTTAAGACATTAAAGAGTCCGTTTGATTGTAAATGTGGAAAATGGGTGGAAAGAAAATGAATTTCAGAGAATTGAATTATCTAGAAATCGTTTTACTGAGAATGACAAGGGGCCATTCTCTTCGTGTTTCAATTTTGTATTTTGAGTTTTGAATTCGTTTTGTATTTTGTGTTTTGAGTGTCTGTTTTGAAATTTCTGAAAATGCGTTTTTTTTTGCCATTTTGAGAAACTGTTTCCGAAAACATAAAAATGGAAAACGCGTTTACTTTGAAATTTTGAGATTTTTTTAATAATATTTTATTCAAAAAAACTGATTATTCAATAAATTTTAATTGTTTAATGTTAATATAGTATT